CCTGTCATTGTAAAGAGAACTTTTAAATATGAATTTAGTCATTGCTTTGTATTTGACCTAGATGTTCTCTAATGGAATAGAATTTGTTTCTTATGTTTAAGCTTAAAAACTGTGCATTTTTTCAGTTAAACACATTGTAGTTCTAAGGCCTCCATGGTCGTCTTTTGGGATTCTCTTTTCCTCAAATGTGACGATTACAGGTATCTTGCAGATCTTTTTATAGCAATAGTCTTTTGAACCACAATGTGGCACCTCTAGAACAGTTTTTAGTTGTCCCTAAATCACATTTAATTGTGAATTCTTCTGCTTTTAATGTCTTCTGTTGATGTTTTCTATGCAGTTGTGTGTTTAGTCTCCTAAACATGTAATTTTTATTTTAGTGTTGGTTTAAAACCTGTATATGTTGAGAGGGAGGTGCCATCAGACATGTGAGAAGGGATCTACTGTCACATCTTGGGGGAAGAGAAGTCTATGGAAACATTTTCAAATAGAATTGTGTGATTGCAAAACTGATTGAAATATTACTATTTTCCTCACAGTTTTTGCTCGAAAACTTCCTTAAAAGTAAGAACTCTAAGAAACTGAAGGCCCAGACAGTGTGGTCTTTATACAATTGTTATGGCAGCCTGTGTTCATTTGTCTGTGTGCTCTAAATTGTCTAAATGTGGAAAAAGTAGGATGGTGAAACAGGTGGTCAGAATTTTTGTAGCTGGCCTTACTCTTACTCTTCTTTTCTTGACCATAGTGAGATTTCAAAATCTGAGATACTTATAAGCAATGTTAGGGAGTGTTACTGGGGTAGGTTGCATTATTCAGAGTTGGGTGAGTGTTTAGATCTAGGAGATGGTAAACATGCAGTGGAGAATGCAGTTGGTCAGGCAAGTCTTGTTTGCCAGCTGAAACACTACAGAGCACTGTTACAGTAACTTTTTTTTGACCTAAGGGGTTTTCATCTTTTTCCAGCAGCACTTAATGAAGATGCCATTTGATGGTAATGCTGGTGGTGTCATGCAACTCTCCAGCAGAGTGCAGAGAGTCGCTAGTCAGCAAAGCTTCTGAAGGAACAGGCCAGGAGTCTATGGAATATACAGTTTTCATATGTAAATGAAAATTCTAGACAAACTGAAAACTTCAGACATCTCAGTTAAATATGCTGCATAATAATTAACAGCTATTGTGAAGACCCACATTGATGCCAGAATAACTAAGCTCTTCATTCACTTAAACTGACAGTCCTGCTGTGTTCCTGAACTGTGTCTTTGCTGTTTAGATAAATGAACAATTTAAAACATAACATATTAAGTGATTAAGGTCTAATTCATTGGCCCAGTGAGTGAAATCTTTGATTTAAATCCCTCCTTCCTTTCTTTCTTGCCTCCCCAAGGGACAGAGTGGAGTTTT